CTCGCTTGCCGGAAAAGCGCCAACTCAACTTTTTATCGTTAGTGTTCGGGCACGACACATCCACCGGCACATCCACCAACACCTTCACATTAGCCGCAGGCAATTTTACTTTAGCCGCCGTCGCCCCGCAGACAAACGAGGCGCAGCAGCCGCAGACCAGCGCTAGGAGCGCCAGGGCGCACACCGCCAGCGTCGTCATCGCCATCAGTAAAAATATTGGCCGTAGAGTCGCCGGCGTCAGTGAGCTTCAAGGCGGCGGGAAAGACGGAAGCAATAGAAAAAGAGCGAACGAGAGAGAGAGAGTGAGAGCAGATAGAAATAACAAAAAGAGAGGAGGCATCGCACCCGCCCCCGCCCCCTCTCGCGTGCTGCGCCTCTCGTTTTATCCGCACCGCCCGCCACCGCAGCGGAATTAATAAACAAAGAAAAACAGTCGATTGAAGCCAAAATAAAGTTGCCCTCTCCCTCTGCAGAGAGCAGCGTACACACACGGGCAGTAAAACGTGTGCGGGCACCCAAAACAACACAAACACAAGCAGAGAAATTTAAAACAAAACAAACAAACCCCGTGAAGTGAAGCCGAAGTGTGGGGGGGGGGCGTCCACCGAGCAGTGGGGACGCGCAGCACACACACAATGTCTTTCTCAGTTCCCGCACAGCCCAATCCAGGAAGAAAGAGAAAGAAAGAGAGGGAGAGAGGCCGCCCACTGAAAGCAACGAAAACAAAACAAACAATAAAGAATGATAACAACAGCTACGGTGCTGTACCCATGCAGCCAAGCAGGACGGCAACGGCTCGTCGGAAGCAAAGGAGGAAGAGGATGGCCGACGAGCCTGCATGAGTGGAGTTGTGTATAGTTATGAGCACATTATGTGTGTCTGCCTCGTGGGCTGCGACGAGGGCGAGAGAGTCCGTGCAGGGAGACAAAAAGAACGTGAAAGAAACAGAAAAGGGCGAACTGTGTGCGCACGGCCCTCTCCTTCTCATTCGGTCCCTCACGCGGCCACCATCGCAGCGGCAGCTGCACACGCAAGCAGAAGAAGCAGCGCAAGGGGGGAGGCGGAGTGCGCGGCCGCGGTGCTGCTGCCGTCGATGTCGCCGGGCGCCGCCTTCGCTGCACTCGTCGAGTTGTTGGTGGTGTTCGCCGCTTGAGCAGCCGCCCCCGCTGCCGGCTGAGCGGCTTCTCCTCTCTCACCACTCTTTTCCGTTTCCCGCTTGGGTGTGGTGACTGCGGGCTGCTCCTTCTGTTCTCGCTGACCAGCCTCCTTTGCCACCACGGAACTCGCCGGCTGCGACTGCGCCGCGGGGCTGCTGCCGCTGCCACCGTCAGTCGTCGTCGCTGCGTGGCTGGCCTCAGTGGCGGTGTCCCCTGCTGTTGGCAGCGGCTCCTTCTCGTTGCTCGTCGGTGTGCCAGCGGCAGCTACACCTTGCTGTTGGGCTCCTGGGGCCGCCGCGACAACAGGCCCTGCAGAATCCTCGGCAATCGCCCCAGCCTTCTTCCCAGTCTGTTCGCTTGAAGTGCCACCGCCGCCCGAAGGGGCAGTGGGTTGAGCTGCATCCACTGCCCTTCCACCCGGTGTATTACTTGTGACAGCAGGGACCGGCAGAGCTTCTTTGGGTTTAGCTTTCTCGTCACCGCCGTCTTTGCCATCACTTGGCACACTCTCCTCGACATCTTTTTCCTTCGAAGGAGCCTTCCCCAATGCCGTCTCCTTCCCTGTTTCCACTGGCCCTTCAGTTGGCGTTGGCGGCTTTGGTGGTGTCGATGCTTCTTCTGGTGGCCCTGCCGTCGGCGCCGATAACACTTCGACACCGTGCCCCGTGGCGTCGTTGCGAACGCTTTTGGTGAGCTCTTCCACCTGAGGGCTGCCGGCAGCACCATCGGGAGTTTTAGAGGGAACGATTTCGGTTGTTTCTTGAGCATTTACATCTGATGTATTCTTCAAGGCTTGAGTGTGTTCATCGCCTTGTGTTGTCGAGACGTCTGCTCCCTTTAATGGAACTTCTTCAGGCGTGCTCAAATCCTTTTTGTGTTGTTCCTCTTGTACCGTTCTTTGACCGTCGAGCCCTGTCGAAGGCGCTGCATGTGGTGGCCCCTGCAGACTGTTCGCTGTCTGTCCTTCGCCTAGCGATGTCTCAGCGTCGCTTGGCC